TCAGGTGAGTCAGACTATTCTGTACTCACTAACTTCATGTCCTCTGCACAGAAGGATGTGGTATATGAAACATTTATGACCAGGTGCAGTGGCTCACACCTGTAATTCTAGCACTTTGGGAGGCCCAGGCAGGCAGATCGCTTTGAGACCAGCCTGGGCAACACAGTGAAACTGTCTCTACAAAAATACAAAATTTAGCCAGGCATGGTGAGGCATGACTGTAGTCCCAGCTACTCAAAAGCTGAGGCAGGAGGGCCACTTGAGCCATGGGGAATGAGGCTGCAGTGAGCTGTGATTGTGCCACTGCACTCCAGCCTGGGCAACAGACCCAGACCCTGTCTCAAACAAACAGAAATATATAGATGGTTTATGTGGCTTTTTTCCCTTATCATTGCAATTTCTATTAAAACACCATCATCTTTTCATTAGAATGAATACATTGTCATATTTCAGTATTTACAAGTCAAGATAATATTTTGATATTGATTTATTTATGTAACAAAACACCACCTCTGTAATGCCATGGAAAGTAATGGTCCTTCATTATTTGAAACTCACTGCAGACCAGGTCTCCTCCGACCCGGGGAAGTCTAGGGTGATTTTCGCTTTGGAGTACAGTCCCCACCTGCAGCTTCTTCTGTGTTTTCTATTCCGTTGTACGTTTGCTTGCCTGGGGCCTGTGTCAGTGACCAGAAAGAACAGTAGTTCAATCAGGACTAGATGCTGAAGAAATCAAAAGTTGTGTATCTTAGGGACAGACCACTAAGAAGCCAAGGCTTGTATATAAAGTTATAATCCAGAGTTCTAACTCTACCAGACCTTAGTGAGGACGGTGGAGGATAAATGGCCCACAGCAACCACATTTCTTTTGTTTACGAAGATGTTTTCATTTTCTAATTGTAACTATGGAGCATAAATTGTTTATAACAACCTGACTCAAAAGAGAGAAAATTCAGCCCTAAAACGTTTCATAAAGCTCACTCACAGGGGAGTTGAGGTCTCATGTGTAACACAACACAAGTTAGGTTTGTAGAATAATTGGCTGATAGGAAGGTAGAAGGGCCCATGAGATCAGCCACTGAATGGGTTCTGTTTTCTGGGCTCAGTTTTTTCACCTGGAATAGTTGGGCCAGCTCTTCTCTGATTTCCAAACCAGTGCGGTAACTCTGTGTGGGCAGCCCCGGGCTGGCCCTCGCTGACGGGAGGCTCCTGCTCAGAGTCCGTTGCTGTGCGGCTTTGCTGAATGACAGATTTAAAATAGAAAACCACAAAAAAGGGAGCTGAGAATGCCTTGCTCTTCTCTTTAAATCTCCATCTAAATACGTGCTTTTACTTAGAACATAAACTTGTCCTTTAAAATAATTTCCTGATAAAGTGCTCTTTTATCACAACATACATTCTCCCTATTTGATAGAGCGATAGTCACTACATAGAAACTAGTAAAATGGAGGCCGGTAGCAGTGGCTTATGCCTATAATCACAGCACTTTGGAAGGCCGAGGCGGGAGGATCACTTGAGGTCAGAAGTTCAAGACCAGCCTGGCCAACATGGCGAAACCTTCTCTCTACATGGTGGTGTGCACCTGTAATCTCAGCTACTCAGCAGGCTGAAGCATGAGAATCGCTTGAACCCGGGAGGCAAAGGTGGCAGTGAGTTCAGATCACACCACTGCACTCTAGCCTGCATGACAGAGCGAGACTCCATCTCAAAAAAAAAAAAAAACCTAGTAAAGTGGCCTCCTGATTTTTGAGGTTGGAATGTTCATTTTGTGGATTATTTGCATCACGTATTCAACCCCAGACTGGCGCAGAAAATTCTGATCTAGTTCCCATAGCCCATCCCATCATGTGACTAATTTCATTATTAGCCTCAGAAAAGCATACCTGAAAGGGAGTGTGCACACCCAGGGAGGGAATCCCAAAAGCTCATTGTGAACGACTTTGAATTCCAGATGAGGCTGATGCCCAGCAGGGATTCAGAGCCTGCCTGTTGATGATTGACTGGCTGTTCCCCTCCACGAGCCCACATAATTAGGAGTTGACTTCATTTCACATATGTTTTAAAAGAGTTAAAGACCGGTAGCTTGAGAAGTTCCATTCACCTGCCAGGCTTTGAGGCTGCCCATGCCATCTTCACCCGCCATCCCCACATTTGCTGCTGTTGGGAGAGGCTCAGATGACACTGAGCAGGAGGATGAAGAAGGGGTGAAGAAGAGGGGAAGCACACGACAGGCTCTGTGCTCAGATGCCAATACGCTTTCCACTGCCTTTTCCAGATTTCTTCTACCAACGGGCTGCTCTCCCCAGGAGTCGGCTCTGGGGCCAATGGTAAGAGAGCAAACTGCAGTCTTTAGGAGGCATATCCTGTGGCATGGTTCTTGTAGGAGATCCGACGAAGGGCCAGGAAGTTTTGCGATCCCCACTGAGCAGATTAAGGCCTGGAGACTTGGGTCCTCAGCATCACACAAGTCATGATGAGCACCAGGCTGTAGAACTTCTAACTCCATATCAGTCTGGTATGAGGACGAACCGTGCCCTCAGTGTGCTTTGTGATTAGAGTATAAAGCTGGAGATGCATCGGAGGTGGTCTGCGTTCTGCCGGCCTCCAGACAGTTCAGGGACTTTCTCCTTGGCTGCTCTCAGCTTCACACATCAGCACGGCTAAGACCCTGCGTGAAGAGGCTTGTCCATTTTTGTTTTAATTTTGTTGGGGGAAGGTAACTTATGAATTGAGTGGAGAAACAGATAAGTGTCTGATTATCAAAAAGGTGAGATGTGCTTCTTAACTATGTGCTGCTGAAGGGAGAATGCAGAGGGAAACAAATTGACGCTAATCCTGAGATTTGGAATGTGGAGAATGACCAGTCTTGTACATAACACATTTGTAGGAAGGTGAGGAAGTTCATAAGATGCGAACCGGGACCCGTTCCACCTGTAGGCTTTCTGTGGCTTTAGAAGCAGCAAAGAGGATTAGACAGGCTGTTTCTTTTCTTGTTCACCACTTTCAAGGTCTTGCTTCTTTTCCAAATTCTTCAGGACCACACAATGAGTTCCATAAAGGAAACGTAGGAGAGCATCATGAAAATAGTGTCTTGCTTGACTGTGGTATCTTCTTTGACTCAACTTTCAAAATGCTCCAACATGTGGCCTGTGCTTTTTTGTTTTCAAATCATAGCTTATCTTTCATCTCATGGCTGGGCCTTCATAGACACAGTGATTCTGGCTGTTAAAACCTAGCTATTGTGCAGGGTAACTCAGCTTGTTATTCTGGGGAAACGTCTCTAATCACAGCCCATGAATATAACAAAGTGCATAAATTGAGAGGAGAATATGACTTTTATATTTCCAAATATTCATTAAAACAGGATTGACTTCAAGTCCTAAAAGCTTAAACACTAGGCTATAGCAAGGGGTACGTTGGAGATTAATACTCCCACAGTGTTTCTGATTACTTTCACTAGTTCGATTTTCTCTCTTTTTGCTGTTCTTGGGGAATACTTTTATCTTTATAATAAAGAAGATGATTTATAGGAATTATCCAGAAGAAGGGCAATATTTGCTTCACACAATTAGTGTAGTGATTCTCCATGTCTAATAAAAGGTGAATGTGGTTTGCTGAAGTTTAGAAAGGTGTGTCAGATCTTAAATATTTGTTCCTTCAGCAGGGATACCAAAGATGCTGTTTTCTGTTATTCACATATTGAACTCCAAGTCTTTTTTCACTAACAAAAGCCTTTTCTGCATAAAACCCGTAGAGAAAGCACCAGAGCCCCCCATCTCAGCTTTTAGTGAACTGGTATTTTGTAGAGGTCAATATACTTCATTTCTTTAAATCATTAATAAACTTTAGGCATTCTTCTTACTCTGGATTTTTTATCACAAAACCGAAGAACAGATGGGAAAATGGCATGCGGTTAACGACATCTAATCTAAGGGTACAGATGCATTTAGGAACCCTTTGATTATTACTCATATTTTGCAATGTACATAGGAGCAGTGACCTAGCATGGTGATTAGAGGTGCAAATCCCAGATACTCTTTGAGTGTGAAACAGAATACGTTTGAGATAAAACATAAGGGTTTTATGTAATTTTTAACATGGTCTTTTTTAAAGAGTTTTTCCAAATACTTTTTTGAGATGAAGCATGACACTTACTCACACATTATACCCGCTCACCAAGCTTTTCCTGAGGCTGTGAGATGGAGGAATGTGCCAGCTCTGCCTGTGCGGTCAAACACTGTGCAGTGGTTGTACCAACTCACCTCAACCCCGCCTTTTACAGGCCTTTGGCTGGCTTTCTCTCTCTCTCACTTTCAAACCTGTGGAGACACAGTCAGAGGAATCAGGTTTACTTTCTAAACTTTTACTATGGAATTTCTATTGCTTCACTGTGTATCATGATAAATTGTCTGGAAGGTATTGGATTCAAAAGAACTCTTAATTCAGCCCCAACGTGTGCTTATGATTCTGAGCTCCCAATGCAGCCGGCACCCCTGCCTGACTTCTCAGGAACCTGAGGCTGTCCTCTGTGTTGCCTACACACCACTGTGAAAATAGACCATTTAAAAGCAATTGCTGCAAACATCTGCTTCAGAATTGGCAACAAGTAAAGTTCATGAACTCTTAGAAAGCCTAGTAATGTGAGGAGCACAGTTAATACACATCTGGCGAGGCTGTAGATAAAGCAAGCCAATGGAGAAAATAAGTCATTCTTAAAATGTATGAAAAATACAGAATTAATATTTTAAAATCGTATTTGCCACACTGACTGGTTTATCTTAAGATCCATTAAAGAAATTAATAATTCACAACAAGTATTTTAAATGGCCTTCTGCTTTTTAGCAACATCCGTTTCCTTTATGTCAACTTTTTCAACCCAGCTGCAAATGGTACTTACGGTTCTATGAGATGATAGACGGTTTGACTTGCAGGTAACGTGCTATCCATGCTGTTGCAACTAAGCTTCCAGTTCTAGCCACTTTTTCCTTTTCTTTTCTTTTTTGTCTTTTTTATTTTCTTTGCAGAAGACCATCAAATGAATTGTCACAATACTCGAATAATGCAAGACACAGAAAAGGATGATAACAATAATGACGAATATGACAATTACGATGAACTGGTGGCCAAGTCGTTGTTAAACCTCGGCAAAATCGCCGAGGACGCAGCCTACCGGGCCAGGACTGAATCCGAAATGAACAGCAATACCTCCAATAGTCTGGAAGACGATAGTGACAAAAACGAAAACCTGGGTCGGAAAAGTGAGTTGAGTTTAGACTTAGACAGTGACGTTGTTAGAGAAACAGTGGACTCCCTTAAATTATTAGCCCAAGGACACGGTGTTGTGCTCTCAGATAACATGAATGACAGAAGTTACGCAGACAGCATGTCGCAGCAAGATAGCAGAAATATGAATTACGTCATGTTGGGGAAGCCCATGAACAATGGACTCATGGAAAAGATGGTGGAGGAGAGCGATGAGGAGGTGTGTCTGAGCAGTCTGGAGTGTCTGAGGAATCAGTGCTTCGACCTGGCCAGGAAGCTCAGCGAGACCAACCCGCAGGAGAGGAACCCGCAGCAGAACATGAACATCCGTCAGCACGTCCGGCCAGAAGAGGACTTCCCAGGAAGGACGCCGGACAGAAACTACTCGGACATGCTGAACCTCATGCGGCTGGAGGAGCAGTTGAGCCCTCGGTCGAGAGTGTTTGCCAGCTGTGCGAAGGAGGACGGGTGTCATGAGCGGGACGACGATACCACCTCCGTGAATTCGGACAGGTCTGAAGAGGTGTTCGACATGACCAAGGGGAACCTGACCCTGCTGGAGAAAGCCATTGCTTTAGAAACGGAAAGAGCAAAGGCCATGAGGGAGAAGATGGCCATGGAAGCCGGGAGGAGGGACAATATGAGGTCATACGAGGACCAGTCTCCGAGACAACTTCCCGGGGAGGACAGAAAGCCTAAATCCAGTGACAGCCATGTCAAAAAGCCATACTATGGTAAAGGTAATATTTCTACCTAACGTAAGTTGCCTCATGAAAACATGAGCTAGGGTGAAGGATGTTGGTGGTAGTCTCCAGTTAAAGTATGACTCACACTGAATTATGTCTCTACTGCACATTCTTAGAGTTGATTCCAGAAGGATATTTTGTGATTACGTTTCTGACAAGCAAATAAAATATTTGTCTGAGAAATACATAAAGCAGCTCAACGTCATATTATTAGAGCAGATGAACAGTAGGATATTTCAGTGGGAAATGCATTCCTGGGAAGACAGGGTTAAAGCACAGACACATCACGTGATAGAAAATATTAGGGTAAGCCTGTGCTGTTATAAATGAACCACAATCTATGTTGAGTGGCAAGGGTTTATGTAACAATTAGTCAATCCGAGATAAAGCACATATTTTATAAATTGGATTGGGTAGGTGGCATCATGATTTATAAAATTATCATCAGGTGACAGTTATTGATGAAACTGCCCTCATAGAAAACACCCCTGATAGAAATTGAACAGTAACCGAATGACCAATAACGTAAGATAAGGGCAGTGACTACACATTAATTATCTTAAGATAGTAAGGTAATGGAAACCATTTGCTATGCAAGGCATGGTGTGGCCTCAGCTAAGATCAATAGCAATTTCTTTAGGATATTCATTCCCCCCTCACTGATTCCATTCCGTTGTGGAAACAGTTAAACGGCGCTTTTCTCAAATATTAGTTTATTATAAAACACTCAAAAACTATCCAATATGATAGTTTGAGCTGAGTTTTCTTTTATGAAATATGTGGGCACATGTTTGCATATGTCAATGTATTTGGCTATCTTTACATATATATATGTATACTATATGTATGTAAGTAGATCATATATATATGTATCTCCAACCTGAATGATCGTCTTCATGTTTATAAAGAAGACGGTGTCCACTTTCAATATGAGGCAGGTTCTAATTCAGCTTCATGCATAACCTCGACTTTGTGGGTATCTCCATCACAATATTCTTTTAGAACTCAGTAAGAAGCAATTTAAAACATAAATTTGGCAGTTCATTAAATCCTTCTATGTTAGTACCCCAAAGATCCTTTTCTGTTTTTTACTACATTCTATTCATGACACATCCTGAGTTTCCTCACTGTGAACCCAGTAGTGAGGCTCAGGAATTTACTTGAAAATCAGTTGCTGTATAAACTTCAAACAATCAGAAAAACTGCACTTTTTCCCACTGTGGCACGGACGTGTATTCTCCTCTCAATGTGTGCACCTACCTTAAGCGGCAAGCTGGACATCACTACAGCCAAATGCAAACTGTAGAGGTACCTTAGCCAAAGGCTCAGGAGCTCTCAGCAGGTGCCTGGGCACAGACAGCATTTCAGTCGCAAGGTGAAGCTTTGCCCGTTGCAGTGTTGTTATGTAGCGAAGGGGTTGTTTTTTAGAGGAAAGAGAATCAGTAGATTCTCTAGTTCAGTAGGGCTTCAGGCCTGATTTGGGCATTTTAAAGACTATGGAACACAGCATCTATGTTTAAAATTACAGTGCTATCATTGTTAACAAGATGGGCTAAAATTATTAGAAATTTTTAGTTGAATTTTTGAGAATCATACAGGAAGGAAACATTTTAATTTTGGGGGAAGAAACAGTGTCTTCTTTTCATGTGATTGCTCAGTTGGACAAATATATTTTAGGCTTACATTTTAGAATCCCGGATCCTAGAGCTGAGGATGGCGTGTTGGCATGAAGTCATGTAGGGTATGCTGTGTAAAGGAGAAGGCTGATTGAGATTTGCAAATTCTGTGTTGCGGTGGCTTCTTTGGTTTCTTGGTCTCTTTAAATTCAGCGGCTTTATGCAAATTTTGACTCGCTTTGTTTTGTTGTTGTTTTGTTTTGTTTTGTTTTGTTTGCAAGAAAATGGAATTCAAACTGCTTGCTTCCTCTGTGTAAATGGGGGTCAGGTGGGAATGAACAGTAAAAACTGAGACATGCTTTTTCCCTGAAGTGAGGAAAGGTTGCAGATTTGGACTTTCCTGCAAGCAGAAGGCCTTGACTCCCATCTCTCCCAGCTGCTCCAGGCCTTCCTCTTTGACCAAAGCTCATTTCCGTATCTGTCAGTGTCTTCCACACTATTCCAAATGTCCTTCAAAGATGTCTGTAGTTATATTCAGAACAAAATACATACAGCCAAGCAAGGCCAACAAAGTGGAGCAAAGAGGCTCCCTTAAAAAATAGTGTGGGTGGATCACGAGGTCAGGAGATGGAGACCATCCTGGCTAATATGGTGAAACCCCGTCTCTACTAAAAATACAAAAAATCAGCCGGGCGTGGTGGCGGGCGCCTGTAGTCCCAGCTACTCGGGAGGCTGCGGCAGGAGAATGGCGTGAACCTGGGAGGCGGAGCTTGCAGTGAGCCAAAATTATGCCACTGAACTCCAGCCTGGGGTACAGAGTGAGACTCCATCTCAAAATAAATAAATAAAATAAAAATAAAAATTGTGGTACTATCTCACCAACCCAGCCAACAGAGAATTCCTGCAACCACTAGCGTGTCAACAGGCTCTATTTTCAGACACTCCGTTATTTTATTAAATACGAAGAGAACACTTGTATTCTCATTTCTACACAATCTTCTCAAACTGATTTAAAGTATCAACGAGCAACATTTCCAAAATCTTGAGCTAATGCAAAAGGCCTGGATCATGGACCTCCTCTGTCTTCTACCCAGTCGCCTGCTCCAGCAGAGTGAAGGGAGCAGGCTAAACAGCACCCTTTTTTTTTTTCCTATAAGTTGTTGCAAGGTGTTGGGTTAAAGTGTTGGTTCCTTTGCTTGCTTGGTTATTTTGTGTTTGCTTGTGTGTTTGCTTTTGAGATTGCAAGAGAAAAGAAACCAAGGGGAGGTAAGGTGAAGGCCAATAGCATGACCCCACCTCAACCAGGACCTCATGCATCGAGAGGAGACTATACCCTTGTCGTCTTCCAAAACCTGAAATGCTTTGGAGCCACAATGTTTTCATGCAAATCCCTACTTAATTTCACAGCACTTTTGAAATCTGGGAAGTCATATATTTTGTTAGGTAGTCGTAAGTGTCGTGATAAAATAGGATCACTTAAGGATGAATAATAGATAACACACCTTACACTTTTTTGCACCGGCCACTAGCCATTTACATCTAGTTCAAAATCTCTTATCTCTAGTTTATGATTGTCAGTATTTCTTTTGAAACTGTTACTGTGCACTTACTACTTTATATTTGTAGTGATTTGTATTTACAGTAATTTATACCAATGTTATGATGAAATTACTGAAAAGGCAGTAAGGTGCCAGCCTTTTGTTTGCAGGTGTAAGAGAAGTTCCAGTAATGTAATTAGAAACTGAAGCCACAACCACGTAATTTTAGATTTGTTCTCAAAGTTCTTCTTGAAATAATGGTAGGAAAGTAGCTGATGATTGTACAAACGGTATTTCCCTCAACACCAGAACTGACTTAAGAGTTTCCAGCACAGGAGAGGCACATTGTGCAGAATACAATGTTAGCTAAAAAGAAAAGGGGAGTGTTTTTATATGAACATGATGGCATTTGTCTACTCCTGCTAGTCCTTTGTCTATTTCAAGTTCACCCGAATGAATGAAAAGTCCATAAAAGTTCAAAAAATTCTAAATCCAGCTTTTTATTGATATAAAATGAATTCTTAACCAAAAGTAAAACATGTACTTTCTAGCAATCATGATTGGCCTGATTCATGGAATATCAAAAAGAACTAATCCCTAAAGAAAATTTAACTATTGCATTTCTGGACTAATAATGATCACTATCTGTTGGTGATCTGAGCAACTGGTTTTCAAAAACTGGCTAAAAATACAGTGTTTCACACACTTAGATTTACTGTTTGGTCTGAGCTTTACTTTAGAAATATTTTCTGAAGTTATTATATTGCATATTTATGAACTGTAGTCAATTCCGGATATAGAAATAATTTTGTGAGCAATATCATTACATTTTTGGCCTCTAGTATTGAATTTATCTTTTAACCAAAGCTCTGCCCTAATTTGCCCTTGACTGGTACTTGCAGAGAAGCCGACAGGGCTGTAGAAACCCATTACTTCTTAATTTTGTGTATGCATGCACGGCATTCTACGAGCCTTCCTCTGGTTCCAAGTACAGATGAAGAAATCAAAACAAAAGGCTGCTCCCGTGGCTTCTGAAACATGTTGGTTACCCGTCACCTCTGTCAGGTGGGCTTTCCACCGTTTTGGTCATTTGCTTGCAGTGCCTTCTGAGAGTTCAGTTTATTGTCAGAAAAGCGCCGAATTGGTGTGCTACGAAACAGTGTCACCTGACCTCCAGAGAGCAAATTTCAATGCCAGTAAAATCCTGCAGCTTCTAGTGTATGCGATCAGAGCACTCAATAAGAAAGAAATTCAGCTACAGAGGTTTTGAACGGAATGACACTCTCTGGTTGAATTTCACGGAAAATTGCTGAATGCTGATGGCACAGAATTTCGTTCTCTAAGAAGGTCACTGTCTCATCACGATTTACGTTGATTCCTTTGAGCAACACAGCTTATCATGTAACACACGGGAAAATAATGAATCAGGGTTAAGGTGAGGGGTAGGCTTTTCTTTTCTTTAGAATAAAAATTAAAATACTTTATGATTCATGGTTATACTGTGTGAGGTTGAAAAAAGTCACCCAAAACCAAAGAACTATCTAAGCAAAAGTCTGATGTCACAGCCTGTCCCCATGACACCTGCTTTATTTCTTTCTTTAGCAAGGTTCCTTCAGATTGTGAAATAATCACATTTGTCTTTGATTGGTAAACATTTATTCTCTTGGCACCTGTTGTCGCTTTTAGATCCCTCAAGAACAGAAAAGAAAGAGAGCAAGTGTCCAACCCCCGGGTGTGATGGAACCGGCCACGTAACTGGGCTGTACCCACATCACCGCAGCCTGTCCGGATGCCCGCACAAAGATAGGGTCCCTCCAGAAAGTAAGTCCACATCTCACTGCTACCCTTGGGGGTGCAAACACCCGTGACTCTGTCTCTGTCATCCCTCTTACCTGGCGTCATCTCCATCGTACGGCTCGGTGCGACCTGACTTAACTAGGCCCCTAGTTAACTTGATGGGCAACTGATCCAGGATTCGTGGGTGTGCCAATGGCACAGCCCCAGGAGAGTGGTGCACCATGAAGCCCACCTCCCCTAACAGAGCTCCTGCACAGGCCTGGGTTCTAGTCCCGAGTTCAGCTCTGACCTGCTCTGGGACCCTGGCAGTGGCTTCCAGACATCTTTTCTCATAATTACAGAATTGAATCTGATGGTCTCTAAGACGTCCCTTCCAGTATGAAACTGCCAGGAATCCCAGAGGAGCGAGGCCTTGAGACAGACATTTCTTGCCCAAATATCTGGATTTCTGTACATCATCCAAATGCATATTTAGATCTGAAGTTTTATTGCATTTCACCTGTAAAGTCTGTCTCATGTCATAGTTGTCTCGACATTTCAACACTATAGGTTCTTTAATAAGGAAGGAGGTTGAAATCAGATGGGTTTTGATCTTAAGCATTCTTTTTAATTAGGTTCTGATCATGTGGGATAAATCCATGAATATAGCTAAATTTTTTTAGAATTGAAATGACATACATCTTTTTTTGTTTATCCTTTCAGCACGTAAAGTATGCCAATAAATTAAATACTGCAGCTGGAATTGATGGTTCAGGGAAAGGCACATTCTCAGGAATTAGCATATGAGTTTAAGGTTCTGGTTTTGAGTCTGTGGCATGGGAAGAGTTTCCCTTACTGTCTAAGACAAGTTTCCAGTGGGGAACATGTCATAACATGGCTTGAGAGACGACAAGATGACCAGTTAATTACTTCAAGGCCCTCTTGAGGACTGTCCCATTAAAACGGGTAACTTTGAGATACTTGAGAGCAAAACCTGTCAGCACAAAGAAACGTTCTCAGGAGCATTTGGGACTTAGGAAGTTTTTGCTGAACGTTTTCCAGTGAAAGATCTTTAGATGTGATTATGGCTCCAGGTTTTCCAATGGCTCCTCAAAATAGCAAACCTGTGTTTTTTGTAACCATCTTGTGAACAAGCCTGAAGAGCCGTAAAAATAAACAAATCAGAGCAAGTGGCTCCAATCCCGTGTGTTACATGAGCAGGAAGATAGCATGGTTTGACAACAGCTTCCATGTACCCAGCACACACTTGGTGCCAGGGCGCAGCTCGCACACAGCAAACACAAGTTCACCTAGTCCCCAATCAACACTGTAGGGCAACACCCACCCTTTCATTCGGATGAGGAAGATGAGAGTCGGAGACTCTGGCACCCTTCTTTCCAGAGGTTAGCCAACACCTGGCAAATTGAGGATGTGCGACATGTTGTTAAACCAATCTGAGCAGGTACTAACTTGCTCAAGTAAGCTCCAGGCTAAGATGTAAATCCGTATCTGTCTGACCTCCAAACCTCTCTGTCTCCTCTGAAACCTGGGTTTGGTGTTCCGGTTTCCATTTGAACACGTGATGTGACACCCAGCACTTTGCAGCTCTCTATACCTCATCTTCCTCATCTGTAAAGTGAGGCAGGAGACCAAGCTCTAGTGTTTTAAGAAGAAAGAGTTTCTTTATGTGTTTTTGAGACCTACATATTCACCTTCAAGGTAGATTATCAGCTCGTTTTTATGGATGGAAAATTCTTCTGACTCCCTGTTTTCACAGTACAGGCCTAAATGAAGCGGGAGTGTGGAGTGTGGACTGGCAAGGTGCCCATCACGCCGGCTGCAGGTGCCTCCCAGGGCCGGATCGCTCTCGGAGGCAGGGAGCCTCAGCTCTGCCACGGGCCGCACAGGTGCACGCCAGACAATACAGAGGAGGCTTCTCAGCCTTTGCTCCTGTGCAATTCTTTATAACACTGCAAGCATTTACTAAAATGATTAGAGAATTCCATCCATAGAAGGCTTTTAATTTAATTTTATTTTTTTTCTGGGCTAGTTTCCCCTAATCATCATTTCTGTCCAACTAAATTCCATAAAGAAACCAGCAGCACACTGTGTCAGGACCACCGAGGACACGCCATTGCCCGAGATACCGTACTGGCCCGCAGAGAGCTCCCCGCCCGGCTGAGAGAAGGGCATGGGCACGAGGCTGGGGCTCTGCATGATGCCGGGGCTCTGCACAGTGGGGACTCCACAGCATGGTCTAGGCAGGAGGGAGAAGCACTCCCAGAGTCCCCAAGGCTGCCCTGAGGTGATGCTCCAGCTGTCCCTGTGTGAGAGGTGAGGAACCCACAGCATTTTCTAAAGGCTGTTGTAAAAGTCCACACAAGAGATCAGGGCATGGAAAAGACAGTGGTAGTAGGAATAAAAATGCTGGGGCAGATTCACAAAACATCTGGAGATAGGCGGGCAGGCTGTGGAGGACAGCACACGTGAGGACTAAGAGAAGAGGGGAGACCGAGAGGAAGCCAAGGATTGGTGAACTTAAGGACGCCAGGGCCGATAATCTGTACAGAGAGCTGAGCAGCAGGGCCACATTTGGTGGAGAAACTGGGACTTGTATTCTTCCCACTTGAGTTGGAGGAGCTGCATGATATTCCATAGGGTTTGGGGAGGTGGCTCTGGAGGCCTGGGGAGGTCAGGTGCAGAGGTGGCTACCTGGATACCGTCCTTGGAGCAGCATTCGTGGAAACTGAGAATGGAATTGCTTAGGGAGGAGGCATAAGGCGGGAATGAAGGAGGGCCCATAAATGGAAGTTTGGCCATGAATGTATGGTAAGATGAAGCACAGAAACAGGGCAGGTGGAGGAAAATCAGAAACAGAAAACCAGGAGAGGAAGGTGTTTCTGATAAAGCCCCGTGTAGGAAGGCAATCCCCGGGGTGCCACCAAGGTCCAAGAGGAAGAACTAGGGGGGTCATAGGGTTTTTTGTTTTGTTTTGTTTTTTGTTTTTGCGTGTGTGTGTTTTAGACGGAGTCTCACTGTGTCGCCCAGGCTAGAGTACAATGGCGCAATCTCAGCTTACTGCACCCTCTGCCTCCAGGGTTTAAGTGATTCTCCTGCCTCAGCCTCCTGAGTAGCAGGGATTACAGGCGCATGCCAACATGGCTGGCTAATTTTTGCATTTTAGTAGAGACGGGGTTCCACCACATTGGTCAGGCTGGTCTCGAACTCCTGACCTCGTGATCCACCCGCCTCAGCCTCCCTCAGTGCTGGGATTACAGGTGTGAGCCACTGCGCCCAGCAGGGTTTCTTGAGTAAAAGCCTCTTGTTGACCCCAAGAGACGGATGTGAGAAGAGGAGAGAGGGATAGGAGCTGCACATGCTGCAGAAGTTTGAGAAATGTGATTGAGATGGATGAAGTAGCAGCAGAGTGTGGACCAAGGATGGCAAGCACAGTCCACCTCAGGACGATTCAGGGACGAGGCTGGGAGTGTGCATCCCCACGCAGCAGGAGACAGGGGTAAGGTCCATTTGCCATCGGGACCTCAGGTCAGAGTGACCCATGTGCGCCATCCCCAGGGAAAACTGTGTGTGAAAAGTTTACCATAAAAGGAAAGGAGAGTGCAGGTGCATGTCAGAGAAAAGCTGGGTGAAGGAAAGCATGTGTGTGCTGTTGTCGCATGGTGGTGGACAAATGGTAAAGAAGGAGGAATGAATGAAGTAGGCAGATGGATGTCCTGCAGGAAGGAAGACTGCACACATGCTTCCTGGAGAGGCCTCCCTGAAAGGGAGGGGCAGCACTTCTTCCTCTGGGACAGGTGAGGAAGCGGGCAGGGAACTGTGCTGGGATTCTCTCAGAAAGGAGCCCCCTGTGACCCCCTCCAGCCAGGTCCCAGCACAAGATGAGCCAAAGGTGGACTCACTTTGATCATTCATTTTTCTGACAGCACTTACTAGGCACCTACCACATCCAGGGCAAGCCAGGAGCTGTGGGAGTGATAAAGCTAACACCAAAGCAGAATCTTTGGAAGGGACTGCCCGGCAGGAAGAAGACGGGGTGTGGACTCAGAAAACAGCAACACCGTGTGGACGTGGGATTCAGTGCCCAGCAGGCTGCAGGGGAAAGGGAGACGTTGTTCTAGAGAAGGAGGAAAAGTGTAGAAAATACAATTACGTAACTAGGGTAGGCAGATCCGTTTTGAATAGACCTTCCATGTTCACCTGGCCTCAGGTAAACCTTGCTGTCAGGGAAAGCCGCCACCCCATTGCCCTGGAGTTTGGAGACAGCAGGCTCAGAGGAGCAGAGCATCATGCAGACGGGGTCCGTGTGGGGGTCCCTTCGTCCCTGCTAACCTTCCCCCAGAACCCAGAGTAGTGAAGTGTTCACGAAGGACCAGAAAAGAAGGAAGACACAAATAAGTCAGGTCTAACACCACTGCTGGGAAAATTCAAGCAGCTCCCCGCAGCCAGCCGGCCAGTAGCACCCTTGCACCACAAGAGGAGTCCTTGCGGCCTCTCCCGCTTGTTAATTTCACAGCGTAAAAACGCAGAACGCGTACCATTCTAGCTCATTCTATTTAAAGAATAATAAAGCACTAGGTTCCTAAAGGAAGCGTGATTATTTAATTCATTTTATTTAAAATTGAGGTTTGTGGTTCTGTATTCATCTACCCACCACACATTCATAATGCTGTGTGTTTCCAAAGCACAGGGGTGTTTTTAAAATCCGCAGCCTCTGTGTTGTTCTATGGCTAATCAACACTCTGTGCTTATGCATGGGTAACGTCTGCGAGGCCCTGGCTCCCCTAACCCATCAGGAAAGAGTCGGTTCTGTGTTCTCTGAACTCCCAGGCTCCCGGGTCCAGTGCCCCTGCCGTGTGAGGCCCTTAGCGTAGGGTCCAGTCAACCTTCTTTCTCCTCCCACGTGTGTTTTCCTGACCATGCCCATCACAAACGTTTGTAGGACTGTCTGTCATGAGCGACCTGGCCTTTGTTAAATGACTGCATTTTCATGTGTCCTGACTGTGTTTTCTCTTTGCCTCTCCCTGTCAAGTCCTTGCCATGCATGAAAGTGTCCTCAAGTGCCCCACTCCGGGCTGCACGGGGCGCGGGCATGTCAACAGCAACAGGAACTCCCACCGAAGGTAAGCCACGCGTGCGGCACTGGTGTGGGAGGGAGCGCCGGCTGCCCTCCATGCCTCCTTCTTCCCGGGGAGGCGGACTGTGCTCCACACGGTGCTCCCCATGATGCTCCCCATGATGCTCCCCATATACAGGCACCTGCTCCACTTGGTGCTCCCCATAGTGCTCCCCAAGTGCAGGCACCCATGTGCAGCACTGGTGTGGGACGGAGCGCCGGCTGCCTTCCATGCCTCCTCCTTCCCGGGGAGGCAGACTGTGCTCCACACGGTGCTCCCCATGGTGCTCCCCAAGTACAGGCACCTCCACATAACGCGCGGGAGTGGCAAGCACTCCACGCCCTTGTGGTGCAAACTGGATGGTTTTAGTTGCCCCCCCCACCTTATGGTAGCAGGGTATAGTATCAGGAGTGGAAACCATGACCATTTACAATGGCTGGAAGGAAGGAGGCCAAGCCTTTGCTGTCCTCCAGGGTGAAGACAGGGCTGTCCTAGTGCTCATTGGACAGGACATGGCCTGGAGTGCAGCAAGCCTATACAGCATGTAGCTTGGCTTGACTGCCCTTGGACTTCTGCGGAAACCCCAGATCACAAGTACCGACATCTTCAAAAACCTACAGATGTTTAGCAGGCTGGGTGGGGGTCTGTGGGAGGCTGGGGTGCTGGAGAAATAGACTCTGGACTCCCGCTAACAAATGTACTCGAAATCACTCTTTTGTTTGTGAACGATTTCAGTTCTCTTTTCCTGTTCTGTTCAGACTTGATAAGAACTACTCAGCTGCCCATAATATTCCATTCTTATCTGATAACTTTTTATTTCCAGAGGCCGAAAAGTGATTCTTTTGAAGTTTGTCTGACAGTCTATGGTTTTATGAGTTCACATAAAATTATATCTAAAAGAAGGAAACTACTATAAGCTTCACTCTAATTTTTGTTTGTCTGACTGGCAAACCTGGTTCTTTGTGTTAAATTTATAACGAAACAAATGACCACTGTGCCCTCCAGAGACATTCAGGTGTTTAATCTGCAGAAGCAGGAAATGATCGACAGATTGGAGAGGTGTGGGCTGTGTGCTGTTCAATGCAGCATCCACAGTGTCAGGGCCTCCGTCAAACCTCAGCACGGGCGTGTCTTTGGGGTGTGACATATATATGGGGGGAGCGTCTGTGCATATGAGCAGATATGCATGGAGACACCCACAGAGCAGGCACAGTGATTTCACATAAAGTGAGCCTGCACACAAAAGAGCCCAGCTGCTGTCTCCTCCATCTAGACGAAGCCTGAACTATTTGGCTCCACAAAACATTTTATTGCAGTCCTAGAAATCATTCTGCTTTCCTCTCCACTTTCATTTCCCTGCTTGTGGAGAACACCAAAGGGCTAAAGTCAGACAGGCCCCCCAGAGGCCACAGTCAGTAGCATTTAGGAAATCAGCTTGGAGCTCCATCTTCTGGTAACAGTCAGTTCATTGCCATTCATGGGCTTAAAAACTCCTCCTACCCAAGCTATTAATTCTTCATCTCCAGAAATGGCGAGCTCTCCAGAACGAAATCTGTCTACCGTTTTCACCAGCTCTGTCCTCCCGAATGCATGGAGCTGGGACGCTCTCACTGGGAAGGACTGAGCACACCTCACACAGCACTGCCGCCAGCATTCTCTGCTGGAGACAAGCAGAAAGCATGCACCTAGAAACATGACTGCCTCCCCCTCTCCCAGTCCACCCATCAGGATTGCCCATGCCAGGCTTGGGAAACCACCCCTCCCCCACAGCTCCACCTGCATCAGGGTCCTGGTATTAAGGAAGGATTGGTGTCCTGTGAAGGCGTCTGAGGCGGGACCATTCAACCCGCTTTCTGTGATTGCAGCCTCTCCGGATGCCCGATCGCTGCAGCAGAGAAACTGGCCAAGGCACAGGAAAAGCACCAGAGCTGTGACGTGTCCAAGTCCAGCCAGGCCTCGGACCGCGTGCTCAGGTACCCAGCAGGAGTGCGCCGTCCATCCGTGAGCTCTATCCACAGTCCGCTCCACACCTCGGAGCGCTGGGGACACCTGCTCAGGGCATGTCCTTACAGCAGCAGGGACTGGGACGGGAGGGTGGGGCCGTGCTGAAAGCCGGGGCTGGGACGCCTCACTCCAGGCCAGGCTGTATGAGGGCAAGGGTGTCATTCTCCCCCTGGTGTCTGTGGACTCATTGTGATGACTTACATGAGAGAGTTGGAGGAAATCGTTTCTGATTTTGTTTCTGGACCTGGTATTTCATGAGTCTGAGTGCTAGATGAAAGGGAAGCTTTGAAAATTAATGAGATGCCCAAGGTAATTTTCTCATAATTTGGAGGAGAGGGCCTCGCACCAACCTGCAGGCGGGTGCTGATGTTTCTGACAATGCTAGGGGTATGAGCACCCCGCGCATGCGTGTGGAAGCTCTCGCATGCAAAGCCGGCAGAGCTCCCTCCTGTTACGCCCAACACCCTGAGATGTAGGTGGGGGTAGGTATTGTCACCTCCGTTTGGCAAGTGAGAAAACCCAGAGTGCAGAGATGTTAAAAGACCCGAATGTTACCGTGGGTCAATCAGTGTTACAGTGTTACAGATCGTCCGCCTGAAACCACTGTTTTATTTAAGTTTTGGGAGGACAAGCTCCCCATGCACACAGCCCTTCTATACATCCTTCATTCTTACGTGTTGCTTCACATTCTCATCCACGTGAAAACTATGACAATTGCCACATATCCTGCCTTTTCACACAACATCACTGCAGAAACACGCGTCCTTGTCTCCATGTAATCATCCTAATTATCGTCTTCACAGGTACGTATATTCTACTGTTCAGACGTACCCCCCAGTGCCAAAACTAGGTTCTAACTTTGAGGCATTCAGGCTGTTTCCCGCTTTTACTATTAAAGAGAGGGCAATAATAAAAATTTCTTTCATATATACAGCACTTTGCCTCCGTTACTCCTTTGGCTACTCAGAAGGCTGAGAGGTGGGAGGATTGCTTTGAGCCCAGGAGGTTAAGGCTGCAGTGAGCTGTGATTTCACCACTGTACTGTAGCCTAGATGACAGAGCAAGACCCTGTCTCAAAAAAATAAAAAAGTAAATTATTTCTTTAGGATAAATATCTTGGAACAAATCACTGAGCAAACAATATGAATATACTTTTTGTTCTTGAGTATTATTTCATAACATCCCAAGAAGCTTCTAACATAGTCATTAAACTCCCTTCCTCCTTAAATAGAAAAGTTAAAATCTTTATAGAAAATTATAAATATTTAAGCAAAAATAAGAAAACAAAACCATCTACGACCATCAAGAGTTAACACCCCAATAAATTGTGGTGCAGAGTTTTCTGCGTTTGGGGGTCCCGGCCCGAAGTGCCCCCAGAGCACCCATCTCAGGGAACCGCCCCTTCAGGGAAATGCACCCATCTTCCCTATGGCAAGACCAAACGCTGAACAAGCCATAGGCCACCCTCCGTCTCCCCACCAGCCCACAGCTAATCATTGGCAGCGTGAAAACCGCCCCCACCCACCCAATAAAACAGACCAACCCGCGGGGCTGTGTAATCCAAGAAGGGATCATTATTAGTCAAAGGAGAATTTGAAAGTTGGTAGGGAGACATTTCTTGCTGAGGGCTTTCAATAATTTTCTTCAGCCTACTTTGGCCAGACCTCCAAGAATCTGGAAGAACTCTAGTACCTGGCCGTTCTTGAGTCACCAGGTGACTGCACTGCCCACCTACGGGCTGCTCTGCTCCCGGGGGCCAGCACGGAGTGAGGATTTCAGGGAGAAGCTCACAGCAGCTGGAGACCGACGAGGCGTGCATGTAATTGTGAATACCACCTTGTCCAAACAGCCTCCACTCTGTTTTGCCTCCTCACCTTTGGACGCTGAGTTTCTTTTCCTGAAATGCTTTCTTACCACCCCCCAAGCCCCGCCCCGCGGATCTTAACCTTAAAAATCAACCCATTCTGTAAAACTGACTTCAAACATCCCTTTCTCCATTCAAACGTAACTGAATTCCATAGCCTGGAGTGTTCTCTCTTCTCCAGAATTCTCATAGCATTTGAACCCTTGAAATATGATCACATCACCCATGGTCTTTTGTGTTTTTTTAATTAAAAAAAAATTTTAGAGATAGGGTCTCACTCTGTTGCCCAGGCAAGAATACAGTGGCACAATTATGACTCACTGCAGCCTTGATGTCCTGGGCTCTAGTGATCCTCCCCATTCAACCTCCTGAGTAGCTGGGATAATAGGCACACACCACCATGCCTGGCTAATTTTTTTTTAATTTTATTTTTACTTTTTTGTTTTTTGGAGAGATAGGGTCTCCCTATATTGCTCTGGTGAGTCTCAAACCCCTGGGCTTAAGTGATCCTCCTGGCTCCGCCTCTCAAAGTGTTGGGATTACAGGCATAAGCCACCATGCCCGGCCTGCCCCAGCATCTTTTAAAGCAAGGCCTAAAGATTTATTCATTTATGCACCGTCATATTATCTGGGAAAATGTCTCAAGAACAATAGACAATCAATTATTACATGATTTTATTGATTTGACAAGAAGTAAATCGGCTAAATTAATGAAATCACAATAAATGTATTGGTGATTTGGTAAATAAATTGGATTTTTAACCAATATCCAATTTATATATATATATAATTGGATATATATCCAATACTGTTATAAAAGTATAGATATGGCTATCAAACAGTCTAAATTCTGACTTTCTTTTCTTAAAAAATCCAGTAATCAAAACTTTGTAACTGCACCAAAACCAATATAAATTTATGAAATAATGAGTAAAGAGAGATTATCTACATGGATGCCTATTAAGTCAGAATTTATAACAGCAACAAAATCAAAAAGTTGGAAAATAGTTAAATAGTACAATATTCATTGATTTCAATATCACTCTGCTATTAAGAACTGTTTTAAAGCCTGAGAAACAAAAAGGAAAATTAAATATCATGTAAAATGGAAACATAAAATATGTAAAAGCGTAAGATTCCAACGATTTAAGTAAATATAAAATGCATGAAGTCAATCATAAAAAATACACGAAAACCTTAAAAGTTTTTGTCTCTTGAAGATCTACAGGCAATTTTTTAAAAAATAGCCTTTGTGTCTTCTAAATATTTTTTTCAGTGAATCATAAAAAACCAAAACATAATCATGAAAATAATCATTAAAAAGCAAGACAATAGTTTTAAACCTGTTATCTGTAAGGCAAGTATAGCTGATCTTGGTGTGCCTGTGTGCGTCACCTTTAGGAAGAGAGTGAGGACTCGAGAGAAAATATATTTATTCAGACACACAAGAATACTTGTGGAAAATGAGTTAGGAAAGGAACAGATCAAAACCCCTCAGGTTTCCATCCCCAGGGAGAACAAGCAGAATATACCGTCTGCACGTCTGTTGCCAAAGAGTTTCCTTCCTAAACAGCACACATTTGTACTTGCTGATATCATGCTTTCATACATCTGCTAAAATTTCACATTCACGCTAGAGGTACAGGCAATGTTTGCAGATCTTACTGATACTAGTAATCAAGAAATAGGATCTTGCTCAAACATTACTGTCTTCCTCCAGGCGTGGTGGCTCACGCCTCTAATCCCAGCACTTCAAGAGGCCGAGGCGGGTGGATCACCTGAGGTCAGGAATTGGAGACCAGCCTGGCCAACATGGTGAAACCCTGTCTCTACTAAAAATAGAAAAATTAGCTAGGCATGGTGGCAGGAGCCTGTAATCCCAACTACTTGGGAGTCTGAGGCAGGAGAATCACTTGAACCCGGGAGGTGGAGGTTGCATTGAACCGAGACCGTGCCATTGCACTCCAACCTGGCAACAGAGTGAAACTACATCTAAAAAAAATGACTGTCCTTCCTAAGCTGACTGTGAACCTCACACTAATACATGAATTCACCACCTTTTGTTTCTTCCTGCTTGGTTGGGTCTTTAGTTGGAATACATTTTACATAGTTTAGAATGCCAAAAATTCAACAGGAAACTCTCTGCCTTTAAAATTCACTGTTTGTTAGCTTTATAGTGTGTAAAATGATGCTGATGTGAAAAGGTCTCTATTTTTTTGAAAATGGATCACTTGATGCCAAGGGTTCAAGACCAGCCTGACCAACTTGGCAAAACCCTGTGTCTACTGAAAATACAAAAATTAGCCAGGCGTGGTGGCTCATGATATAATCCCAGCTGCCTGGGAGGCTGAGGCAGGATAATCACTTGAGAAAAACACAAAGATGGCCGATGAGACTGTAGGATGTTATGATTAAGAATGCATCTATGGCCAGGCGCAGTGGCTCATGCCTATAATCCCAGGACTTTGGGAGGCCTATGAGGGTGAATAACTTGAGGTCAGGAGTTTGAGACCAGCCTGGTCAACACGGTGAAACCCCATCTCCACTGAAAATACAAAAATATTAGCTGGGCGTGGTGGTGGTGCACGCATGTAGTCCCAGCTACTCGGGAGGCTGAGGCAGGAGAATCGCTTGAACCCAGGAGGCGGAGGTTGCAGTGAGCTGAGATCACGCCACTGCATTCCAGCCCAGGCCACAAGACCGAGACTATCTGAATAAAAAAAAAGGACATGTCTATATCTGAGCAGTTCTTCAGTGTCCATACCATGAAGCCTTGAGCCCAGTGAGACTGAGGAGCTGTCAGTATGGAGGACAGAACGCAGGACCCTTAGTGCACTGTGGGACCCTGCATGGTTGTGTCAGAAAAAGGACATTAGTGGAAAAACTGGTCAGATCCAAATACAGCCTCTAGTTTAGGAAAGAACTCCATGCTAATGTTAATCGCCGGGTTTTGCTCTTGTCTTATGGTTATGAAGATGGTCACGTTGGCGGAAGTTGGTGGCAGAGTGTAAAGAAAACCTCTGTACAACTTTTCTGCAAGTCTAAAATTGTTTTAAGTATAAAGTCTAAAAACTTCACTTATGAGCTAGACAGATGAAGAGGTGGACCTACACACATACACACACACACACACACGCTACACAATGTCTATGAGTGAGCAATGCCCTGGTGTCCTTCCTTTTTTATTTATTCATTTATTTATTTATTTATTTTGAGACGGAGTCTCGCTCTGTCATCCAGGCTGGAGGGCAGTGACTCGATCTTGGCTCACTGCAAGCTCCGCCTCCTGGGTTCCTGCCATTCTCCTGCCTCAGCCTCCCCAGTAGCTGGGTCTACAGGCACCTGCCACCATGCCTGGCTAATTTTTTGTAGTTTTAGTAGAGACGGGGTTTCACTGTGTTAGCCAGGATGGTCTTGATCTCTTGACCTCGTGATCCGTGCACCTCATCCTCCCAAAGTGCTGGGATTACAAGCGTGAGCCACTGCACCCAGCCTGTCCTTCCTTTTAAACATTTTATTCCAAAGACAATAAGAAATGACTACTAGGTAAAAATACTGAATGCATAGTCTAGTACTTGACAAGGTGCATTACCACCTAGCCTACCTCATTGTCCAGTTAGGTACACTTTGATCTGATTCTGTCTCAGTCTGTCCCTAAGAGTATTTCTTTACTTCCTCTTACTTTTTAAGCGGAATTTCCTATTGACGCAACGTCTTTGTGTATAATTCAGCAACTCTTTGTAACCACTGCAAAGAAAATTCAGGACTGAGATTGTCCCCATCCTCATATTTCATGTCATCACCATGCCACCAGAGCTCTTACAGGAAAGAAGGAAAAGGGAACATATTTAAAGATTTTATTTCTTGTCCTTTTTTATTGCCAAAGTTGACTTTTAGGCACTTTATCTGGTGCTATGTAATTAAAACACACTTTGTCTTTTCTTCAGAAAATAAAAAAGTTGTAGTTTTAGTGAAAGGTAATCCATCTTAAAAAGTAGGATATTCTAGTTTTACTGTGAAGCTTGTCGTGTGCAAAGCCACAGGAAAGCAAGCTGTTGTTTGTTGTCTTGTTCACTTCCAGGCCAATGTGCTTTGTGAAGCAGCTGGAGATTCCTCAGTATGGCTACAGAAACAATGTCCCCACAACAACGCCGCGTTCCAACCTGGCCAAGGAGCTCGAGAAATATTCCAAGACCTCGTTTGAATACAACAGTTACGACAGCCATACTTATGGCAAGCGAGCCATAGCTCCCAAGGTGCAAACCAGGGATATATCCCCAAAGGATATGATGATGGTAGGAGGTGCACACTCTTCTACATGAGAGACACGTTGCCATTGATGATGATGTTGTTGTGTATATCAATGTCCTACAAGTTAGTTGAGCGGTGGTGGTCACTCGATGGGTACCAAAAGAACAGGATGTTCGTAGCACAGCCCAGGAGCTGAAAGCCCCCCAGGTCCACACAGCTGTAGGAGAGCAAACCTTCAGGGGAAGGAAGGTGATGGTTTCCCCGCAGTCATTCTGAGGCAGCGCACTCGGCTGCTTGTGGAATGTGGAGAGGGAGAAGCGATGGACTGGCTCGTTGTCTTTTGTGGTACTGGGAAGACAGTACCCTTATCTTAATACGCTTCCTTTAAATAAATGCCTGAGGCAGACAGTGCAGGGGGAGCCAGCAGGCAGCCCTCGGCTCCCGGGAGCTTTGAGGAGCTCTGCACCCATCTCCTTGGTGTTCTCAGCCTCGCATGCACATGAGAACCATCCGGGGAGATTTTTTTTTTTTTAATTCTTATGCCCATCCTGCCCTCATGACCAGTGAAATCAGAATCTCTGGAGGGCTCCCTGCACGACACGATGACATTTTTGAGAAGCTCACCAGTGATTCCCGTGCAGCCAGAGCTAGTGGCCTCCTTGTCACCCAGCCTCTTCGCAGCAAGACCAGGACCTGGGTCCCCCTGTAACTGGGGACGATGGAGCAAAACAAGGCCCAGCCTGGGGTGCTGCTGGCGGAGCCAGAGCTTTGTTCCTTGCTGGCTTGTGGCTGCCGTGGCACCAACAAAATAGAGCTCATGCAGCAAACGCAGGGCCACGGGCTTCACGGGAAAAGGGTGGTTTATTTTGACTAATGCTTATTTGAACCACTACCAAGAGTGTGAACTAGTTACCATTTCACTACAAAGCTAGTTGGTAAGTAGTTTTTCATTAGAGGGGAAGACTGTATTTATTTAATTTTTTTTATTTATCTAACTGTGTGTCTGCTTTAAATTCTAGGCTGTATAGACGTAATTGCCAAGTTTTACCAATTGGGACTTGGGGTGTAAATGTTCTGATGATTTAGAAATCTTGTCATGATATTCTCTAGCACAGGGGAAGGAAATAGTTTTTTTAAAAAGGTCATCAAGCTTTTCTTTGAAAAAGATATTTAGGGCAGGGTGCAGTGTTTCACGCCTGTAATCCCAGCACTTTGGGAGGCTGAGCCAGGTGGATCACTTGGTGTCAAGAGTTCAAGACCAGCCTGGCCAACATGGCAAAACCTCGTTTCTACTAAAAATACAAAAATTAGCCGGGCATGGTGGCTCATGCCTGTAACCCCAGCTGCTCAGTAGGTTGAGGCACAAGAATCGCTTCAACCTGGGAAGCAGAACTTGAAGTGAGCTGAGCTAGTGTGCTGCTGCTCTCCAGCCTGGGGGACAGAGCAAGACACTGGATCAAAAACAAAGAAAAAGATACTTAGTTAAAATCACAGTACGCACACACAGTATTTAAACTGAATGCTTGGGGAGTTCAGAAACCATTTTTATCATTCTACAGGAATGACCGCACATCTTTCTAAGCTATGGTATTTCTTGCCTTAATAACAATTTATTTGTATAATGAATGAAATGTAGTATTTCTTGGAGCTATCATATATTGGTCAGAAACACGGACATAAATGGATAGAAGGAGTGACTGTAGGGTATAACAGAAATAGTTCTGTTGGTTTGTTGTTGGGTTTGTGATAATTTCAGGTTTCTTATCATCTCATTTGTTCATCTACAAGTGAAGAATCAAAAGAAATTAAGTTCTCATAATTGAAGGCTGTTTATATGATTTCCAATTCATTGACATTTTGCCGGGATTTGATCCATTCTTTCATTAGAGGTTCATTTTTACGCACCTGTTTTTTGCTGTTCTTGTTCCGTGTGGGCTGATTTCTTTCTTGAGCTTCATTGTTAAGGTTAGACTCCAGCCTGAGAAGGAAAGGGGGCTTCTGGGTGAAGCTGTGAGCAGCAGAGCAGTCTCAGGGTCACGGTGCCTTGAGGGGACCCGAAGTCAAATCCACTGAGCATATTCTCGGTGCTGTTCTTGGGAGCCGGATGCTACTGGACAAATTAGCCCAGCACGGCATGGGTTTCCTCGGGAGCAGAGAGGAAGCAGGAGTGTCCCCTGCTGACCTCGCCAGGCTGCAGTGAAGATCAGCCGAGACGGGACGGGTGCGAGGATGCGCTCGGTGGCACCGTCACATGTTAGTTACTGGCATTGACCATCACATGCCCGGCAGAGGCCCTGCTGTGGACACTAAGGCTGAGCCATGCTTTGCAGCCGACCCCCTGGAAACAAGCTGTCTATTGAGCAGACAGGCTGAAAGCTCAGTGTTAGGGCTTCGGGAAAACAGAGCAGAGGAAATGCAGCCTCTTACCACAATGTAGTGAGAAAATGAGCCGACCCTCCGCTTATTTGTATTGATTTTAGAGGCACAAGTGTTACGCAGATGTATCGTGTGGATGTGAAGTCTGGGCTTTTAGTGACACTCTGTTTCCATTTCACTAGACTCATCTGACAGATTTTAAAAGCATCCTGGAAAGTGCCCACTAGGACAAGACTGGCTGGTAGGGTTGTTGTTGGGGTGTGATCCGAGGGGGTCCAGCCCCACTCCTGGGCACCGGGTGGCAGATTCTGACCGCAGAGTGACTGCTGCCTGCAGGTGCCCTCCAGTGAATCTTGGCCAATACTTGCTTCAGGTGCACAAAGAATTGACTTGTTGCTTCTAAAAAGAGACAAAGAAATGGTTCTGTTGTAAGGGAGAAAAGTACAGCTCTTAGCAACCAAAGGTCAAGGCCATGCAGATACAGAATGAAATAGAGCATAGGACCTTCTCTGCAGCCTTGGAGAATCATCCCTTAAATCATACCAGCTGTGATCAGACCACTCACAAAATCTTCACTTCACCAGCTGCATCCTTCCAGACATAGCACACCAGTGCTTGCTGTCCACCTGACCATCTGTGTTTATGTGTCTGTCTGTGTGTCCGTGTGTCTGCCTACCCATCTGTCAGTCCATCATTCCTTCCCTCAGGATACACAAGACAGTGAAACACACACTGGTGCCCAGTGAAGTGAGGAGTCCCTCTGCCTGCAGGATTAGCATGTGCTTTACCAAAGTGGCAAACTTTAGATGAGATCATAGAGTTTGAGCAGAAATCATACAAAGGTAGAGAAACACACAGGATGGTGAGCACAGCCAGTGGTCTGGAGGCCAGGACGGAGACCCATGAGAAGGAAGAACAGGGAAAGCCGCAGGGGCTTCTGAGGAAGGGGCTTCACGTTGTCTGTAGGAAATAGAAATCCATGCAGGGTGACGGAGGGGCTGCGGGGAGGAGGACGGAGCATCCACTGGGGCATCTGGGCCCTGCCCTCTCCCAGGAGCTCCAAGCCACAGCCCCACCCCCCGTTTTGTATGGTGAGCTAAGAATGGCTTTGACGTTTTTAAAGAATTGGAGAAAAACACAAATGACAAATAATATTTTCTGATATATAAAAGCTATGTGAAATTCCGTTGCCATGCCATGGATAGAGTGTCATTGGCACCTGGCTGCCCTCAGGGCTTGGTGGGCAGGCTGCGGTTGCTTCTATAGTACAGGGCAGAGCCAAGTGGCCACAAAAACGATCGCAGAGTTCCCAAAGCCTAAACATTTGCTACGAAATCCTCTCCAGAATAAATTGACACCCCCTGGCCTCATATGTCTCCACTTTGCTCTGTCTCCAGGCAACACACCCCACCCTTGGGGGCCTAGTCCTGTCAGGCTCCCAGCCCCCGAGTGGGCTCTGCCCGTGTTCTCCTTTTGATTATTCCCAGCTTCCAAATTCGCCAGCACTCAGACCTTCCCATCATCTTGGCACTTCCTCTTGTTTGCCCCCTGCCCTCCTGGCTGCACGGACGACTCTCCTGACTACCTGGGCACCTGTAGGCTCCTCTCGTCTCTCCTGCACGACCCCTCTGGAGTGCACCTCCCTGGCCCTCGGTCTCCAGTCCCAGCACGCCCACCTGCAGGGCTCCCTTCTTCCCTCCACCTGGCTGACTTCCCCACGGCCTCTCGACCTGAGCAGAGGCCACTCCCTGGTGAAGTTCTCTCCTCCTGTGGGCAGTGCGAGGCCCTTCCTACCACTCTCCGTCTGCCTGCGTCCATGGAGCTCGATGCCACACTCTGCCCCGCATGGCTGCGTCTCACCTCTCGGGCACTGCCTGCCGGGACGGCCTGTCTTCCCATGGGCCCCAAGCTCCTGCTGGGCCACAGCTGGGTCTGCAGATTCGCTCCACCCTCTAGGGCCTGGGCAGGCCAGGCAGGCAGTAGCTGTGCCAAGGACACTGAGGAAAAGAAAGCCTGACACCGAGACCCCGACACCCCTTGGACATCAGCTCAACTCCAGCAAGTAGATCGTGTGCCTTTGAGATGTCATCCCACAGGCTGGAAAGCTCTGTTCTTTCCCATGTAAGATTAGATGTCTGTATTTCAACTTACTTGAAACTCTAGGTGGAAGTGTGTAAAGACCATGAGACTCAGTGCCACAGACGAGGGCCTGAATCAAGTTAGGTCTAAAGATTACTGGGTCCCAGCTAGTGGAGACATCTTCATGATGGACATCTTGTGATTGCATTTGTCTAGGTTTTCATGGAAATTCATACTGTGGATACATGTTTATCTGTTCTCTGCAAGAAAAGGTGAATCCATAAGGCAATAGAAATTCCTAGGAGAATGAGGCATGTACATTTAGTAAGAATTTCATGAGCAGAGTAGGCAAATGAAAAGGTCCTACCTGGAAGGTTTTATATTTTGTTGTTTTGGTTTATTATTATTATTATGTCAACAGCTGTATTTAATCACACAAATCCTGTGTGCTTTACCTTTTTTCCTGCAGTAGAGGAGACGGAATATTGAAGAGGTGTTTTAGGATGGTTTAAGATCCAGCGGCTGCTCCTGTTTCAAGGCAGCTCTGGCATCTAGAGTTAAAGCTACTGCATTGCTCGTAACATACAGT